TTTGTGCCGAAACGTTTGAAATGTTAGAACCGAGAAATACAATGCTTGTAAAAGTTGTTGTTCAGCAGACGGGCGGCGATTCCAGATCTCGAATAACGGTACTAGGGCCTGTTCCAGCGCCTCCAGAAGAAATTCTTGACTGGAGGCTCTACCAGAGGTTTTACTGGAGGCGCTGGAACGCAATCTGGAGATTTCTGGAGATTGGCGTCATAGATACTAGTGGTGTCAATCGGAACTTGAATCTTCGGAATTCCGATTTTGTCCAATGTCCAATTCGGAATTCGGTTGGACAATGACGGCAGGCGTTGGACAACTTTGGACAATCACTTGCTACACCTCAGCATTTTTATAAAGCAATCGTGTTTAACACTGATTGGCGAATAGAAAGCTCAGCTTTTGATATGATTAACACATTAAAGCTGGCAATAGTACATTAAAAACAATTAAATAATAGTGTTGAGTGTAAACTATTGCGTAGGTTTCGGACATCTTTGGACAAATGGCTGGCTTGGACATTTTTGGACGGACAATCGACGTAAGCATTGGAAATTGGACGGACATTGGACACACATTTTCTGAAATTGACACCACTATTAGATACCAAAAGAATGACGATTGTTCCCTCTTGAAACGCAAAATTTGTTTTTCAATTTTAGTTAAAAAGATAAATAAAATTATAGCAATGTAATTTTCTTTACATTCAAGTTGTAAAATAATCAGTCAAATGTCCTTTGTTTACATTCGTGATTGTCACATGTGCACCATAATTGTAGACCAGAGCCGCCAGAGAAATTTGGACCTCTCAACTCTCTGGAGGCTACTGGAGGTTTCTGGAGCTTTGGCGAGAGCTTTCTGGAGCTTTCTGGAGGCGCTGGAACGCTCTCTGGAGGATTCTAGAGCTTTCTGGAGCTTTCTGGAGGTTTCTGGAGGTTTCTGGAGGCGCTGGAACAGGCCCTAAGCCCGTTATGCCGCTCCGACACCCTTTTGACGATGTGGCCGGGCTACGAATGGATGTTTTCGGTATCTCGGCGCGGTGGGGACCTGGTGGCCAGATGGGACGCTGATCGGCCGTAGTGTCGTAGCCCGTGTTTGCAGCCAGGAACAGAACGGAATTGAAGTTAGAAAAAGGTCTCCGTTGCAGCCAATGATGCTATTTGCAAGAATGATAGAAAATGTAACCGCATTAACGTTACATTTTCTCTCCTCTTCTTTGAGTCGCGCCGCGGGGTTGAGTTGTAGTCTTATGTTGAGGTCCGTAAAATTGGGAAAATGTAACCGCCAGCGTTACAGGATCAGACGACTTTGTGTATGAGAGTGAGCTTAGGGCATGAGGCAAATAACGGTGATTTTGATAATTGCACTCCTCTAATCAGCGTGATTGTTAGTTATGAATTCAGTGCGTTTTTCACAAATAATTAATTCACACTTTTGCGTCATAAGCAGGTTTTTTTTTGCTGTGATAGGTATATTTTCTCAAAGCCTTGTGTTGACGTAATGAGGTGTCAAAGTTCTCGCGTCATGATGTTTCAGCTGAACCTGGCGGTAGTTTACAATAAAATGGAAACGTCAGTCGACCACACGCCCATTAGCGTATATTTGGGTGACCGTGATCCATGCCCTCATACGCAGCCGCGCTACTCGCTAACACTGACGGTGATTGAACACATGGCTTAACACGTGACATGAAAGGTGTAGGTAGGTATCGACTTTGGTGTAGGTAATTATGAAGACATGCATCATGAGCTTATTGCCTGCATGAATGACAATGAAAAATTATCATTTATTGTTTCTGAGCCAAATATTAACCCTCGTCCCGCTGGGGGGGGGGGCAATTTGGCCCCCCTGTGGTTTTTCCTAAATAGTTAGAAAACGGCGGCGCGCAGTGCCGCCAAATTTTAGTACCTTTCCAGGCATCAATTTGACACCTTCACATCAAATTTCAAGTCTTAGGTCACCTTAGGTCAGGAGTTATTGAGGTCAAACTGAGGTCATGTTCGAGCAAAAATGAGCAAAAACATGAAATCGTGAAACGCTCACAAAAGCTACAGTTACCAAATAATTTCAAAATTCTTTATATGGTTATGTAGACAAAAGATAGCGCTACAAAACTGCTATCTCGGATTTTCAAAATTTTTAGATTTTGACCCCAAAAATTCAAAAAATTGATTTTTTTTGCAAAACTAAAAAAATCCAAAAAATTTCCGAATTTCGAAAAAAAACCGGAATACCTACCTACATGTGATAGTCCTCGCGCTCTTCTATATACATACCAAATTTTAAATCGATACCTCCTTTTTGGCCAAGTTATAGCGAAAACTCAAAACACTGTTCAAAATTGATGACGTCATATTTTTAAACTCAATTTTTAGTCATTCTAAACCACGTAGCGCAACACAAAAACCACCATTGAACTCCCCGTGACGAGCTGCATCGAATCGATACCATTTTATGCAAAAATATCAACTTTGAAATTTGACCTAATTTGACCTGACCTTGACCTAACTTTGACCTGACCATGGTGTGTCAAAAGTGGAAATAGCCGCCCGGCTTTAGTTCGCCAGCCTTGTCAATAGATGGCAGTACCACAATATGGGCAGCGGATCGTGCAATTGACGTCAAATTTTCGTTATCTGCTAAGAATTGAATGGCGGATCTTTTCATGCAAGAATCAAGTAAATCAGTCCACAACTTTTCTAGCAACAGAGATATGAAGTCAAACACCCTGCCAGAGCGGCGGCCGGCGGCAGCCGTTACGCGCCGCCTGGGAGACTGGCGGCGCTGAACGGTTCCGAATTGGCACTGCACTAAAACCTGTTAACTGCTTGGAATAATTATTATAGCAAAATTTTCATTCAAGTGAGGAATAACCAAGGGCAGGAAGTGTGTATACTTGTGTACGTACTGTGTAAGCCAAGAAACTGCATTAGCAGATACTCGCTAATATTAGATCCAGCCAAGTCCAAACGCATTCCAGGGGATGTGTTCCTGATGGGTCAACAATATTTATCGTTCGAGGGCGGATACAGTTTTAACAATACAAAAAATATTTTTGCACAACTCTATTCCTTGAATAATTCTCTTCAACGCCTCATTCCTAGTTAACCCTATTAGTGGCAGGCTCCTGGCATACCCCTATTAGTGGCAGGGGGGGGGGGCTGTTTACGACCCCCCCTTGATATCTCGAGATCTAACGGGCCGATTTTCAAAATTCAAACGGCATTCGATTTCGCTCAACGTGATCTACATTTCTAAAAAATAAAAATTAAAAAATGTCAATAGGGGGGGTAGAGGGGGGTAAAAACAGGCAAATTGCAGATACATTTTAGACTGTTTATCACGGCCAGGTTTCTGAACAAATCTTAACGCAACTTTTGCCGATCGATAGAGAATGAACCAGGAATTCACATGGATCCTAAAAATATGCATTTTCAAAAATCATAGGCGGATACAGATCATTGAGATTGGGGGTACACAAAAAGTATGGTAAATAAGGTTTTTGTTTGTACTGTTTCTAAAAAGGGTGGTAATGGTCTTGTTATGTTACAATTTTCTTATGAGAGAACGACTACAATTGTATTGGTCATGCATAGGCGGTGTCAGGGCACCTATGTTGGGGGGTAAAACATAACCCCCCTTTTTGGACGCCTGGATCCGCCTATTATAGCAAAAACGTGTCAAAAGAGGATGCACAATAACTGTATATGTTATCACATGATACCTTTCATTCACTGTTCGTAAAACTGGTGCAGCATCGTGATCTTCGCCCAAATGACTCGCTTCACGAATAGGACCCCCAATTCCCAGTGCTCTGGAACCGCCCCTGGTAAAGTTATGAACTTGAAATTTACAGGGAACGTGCCCAATTTAGTTTTAGGAAAAGTCAGAAAATTTCAGCATCGTAGCTTCAGCGGTTTCGAAGATATTCCCGAAAAACCTGAGGGGTAGATAAAAACAACCCCCCCCCCCTGCCACTAATAGGGTTAAGCGAATTAGCCCACCCTGGTTGAATAAATTAGGCGATTTCGCCACAAGGTCGCGGAAAACCGACCGAAAACGGCCGCGCTCAGCGTTAATTTGGGCATGCAGACTCTTAAATACTCGCATTGGGCGGGTAGGGTTTCCCAGGTATTGGCTCCAAAACCCCGTATTCGGCTCCCGAATACGTCCAAGTGACCCGCCTCGTTCCTAGTTAAGCTCTAATTAGATCAAGTGACTCATAAGGAGCGAAAAAGCGACAAAAAGCATGAATTTCCCTATGGCGGCGGGCTGCCGGGTTGCCAGACGGCGCACCGGCTATTTCCACTTTTGACACACCATGCCTTTACCGAAACATAATCTAAACTGACCCTAAAGACTGCCTGACCCACATAATCGTATTTGGCATATAAAACGGACCATAAAACATGAATCACATGATATTTTCATAATGTGACCCTCAGTGACCTGACCTCTGTGACCTGACCTGGTATCAGTGACCTCAAAAAGCAAAATTTGTGTTTGACGAACATTTCACCATCGATGATTTTCAATGAAATGCATTTTACTCGATTTTACCACGCATTTCTTGAAATGCCTGTAAACGGTGAAAATTCGACATTTGACCTGACCTGTGACGTCATCGGTTTGACCTAGGTCAACGAATTTGGGTTACAAGGTAGTTCCCTGATGGGGCTATCTAACACCGTTTACCGCTTGTCGCTATGTTGCGTGGTTCTCGAGATCTTAGGGGGGGGGGGGCAAATTGCCCCACCCCCAGCAGGGCGCGTTGGTCGGCAGACCCCAGCGGGGCGCGGGTTAATTCACCTTCATGCTGTTTCGTGTAAGGTTGATATAGGTATGCATTGTGCAAACCAATGTCAGTTCAGTTCAGTTCAGCCAGGGAACCGTTTTCGTTCAGTTCTGTCAGGGAACCGTTTTCGTCGGAAACCGTACCCTCCGGGCGTTTGTTACCATGACAACCGTTGTTATTGACGATTGACCGAAGTAGCGCTCTGCTGTCTATCGTGGCGCAGCGTGTTGAAAGACCGGTGTGTAAAAGTGGTTTGGTGAAAGACGAAAGTCGTTTGGCTTTTCCCTACATACAGCTATAGCATAATTCTGGAAACTTGCATTACTGCAATGCATTAACTTACCGAATCTTTGTTACAGACGTTAAGTAGTACGAGGCTGACAAAGAGAACGTGCAATGCGATCCCGCCACCCAAAATTTTGAAACATAAGGAAAGATGTTTTGGACATACTGATGGATTTCACATTTTACTCATCGTCGTATGCACTGCGAAGCTTGATAGCTTTCATAATATAGAGCTAATAATGTCCACTTTGACAGTGTGTGAATCTACATAATTGAACTGCTTCGAACGGTTTACAATGTCTATCGCTGAGGTCTCGTTAGTCCATATATTTGGGCTTAGGAACGACATTCCGAATAACGTATGTTACTGCGATGATCAGAACATAATTTACCCAGCTGGATCTACGATACTCAGCTACAATGTGCTTCACAAGCATCAAACGCATTTCGATGATCTAAGAAAGCTCAGGAATCTGAAGAATTTTGCGTTGAGCCAAAACAAGTGAGTTCCGTTAGCTTTGTCGTAACTCGTAAATAAGCTTTATGTATCTCTACGGGTTACAACATGCGTTAGAAGTTCACGCCAGCCAGGCGTGGCTCGTTACTGGTTGTTAGATCGATTGTAGGCAGGGGTAACGGCTAGGTACAAATGTAGGCATTGTGTACGCTGTTGACTGCTCAGCTGTTTCGTTATGGTGCACTTAGTATATTTGTTGACTTTTCAGGATGCATATTGATTATTTTCACAATTTCTTCTGACCAGCAGATCGTTTTGTTTATCTGTTTCTTCTGATGGATGGGCGTCTTATGCAACGTGAATTTTCTTATATGTTGTCAGTCTAATTTATTAATACTTCCACAACTCCTGACGATTGTCATTATTTTCAGACGTTATCTGGCCGTCTCTGACTGCGTTGACAAGCCGACCATCTTCATCTATGACCTGTCTACGAGCAAACGGCGCAAGACGCTCTACTGCACAGAGGTGCAGTCCAAGGACGTCGTGTCTCTGTCCTTCTCCAGCGACCACAAGTATGTGCTGGTGCTCGGTGGCAGCCCGGACTACACGCTTGTCGTCTACCTCTGGGAGAAGGGGAAGATCGTCACCACGCTCAAGCCGAACATGCCCAACACCTGGGCAGCCGTCAACCAGGTGAGAGGATGCGGTAGATACCTAATGAGATAAAACATCGGGTTGTAAATAAGGAGATGCTGCATGCACTTCCTTGCCCTGAACGTGAGATCCTGACTTTTGAGCAATGTATATCAATCGCTGCTTTGTGTAGGCTTTATTGCTACCAAGACTGAACGTCGCTTCCCTTCGCAGGCGGTGTACAACCCAGCGGACCCGGCAGTGATCGTGGTGGTGGGCCAGCACCTGCTGAAGATGCTGCGACTCACCGAAGGATCGCTGCGTCAGTTTGGCCACCAGCGCGTCGAAAACACCAACTACATGTGCGCTGCCTGGGCAGGTAGGTACATACTGAAACTGACCGTAGGTAATAGCCACAGCAAGATGATGCAACATGAGGCAGATTGGTGTTCACGGTTCTGTGTGTTCCTCAGGTCAGAACCGTCTGCTGGTGGGTACGGACCAGGGTCGCGTGGTGCTGTATGACGCTGCTGAACTGAAGGCCGAGTTCCGGCTGGGCGATGTGCTGGGGAAGGACTCCTCCTCGGAGGCAGATCGTCGTTCGGTGAACGGTACCCGCTCCGGCTCGGTGGTGTCCGGAGGAGGTGTTGGCGCCGGCACACCCGTCACCAGCATAGTCACATTCTCCAAGGTGAGCGTGGGGTGCAGGCTTGGTGAGGTGCCTATGCTCGGATGTCTTCTGATTTTGTGTGATGGGTTTCAGCGGTATCGTCAATTGAATGTCGCTTGCTGATTGCGACTACGATTGTGACAAAATTAATCAAGAACGTCCAGAAATTGATGAATTTTCACGGATTCAGTTGAATTGTATAATGTGCTTAAAAAAGGTTCCTTTTTACTACATTTCCAAGCTTAACATTTTATGATCCTCCCTTGGCATGATCTCAAGCAGTTTCCACAGCCAATTGTCCCGTCATTTTTAGCCGTTCTTTTCTGATCTGACCCGTGACGATAAGTGGCATCACCTGACCAGTCCCATCCCATCCGGCAGGGTTTCGTGGCCGTGTGCGGCGTGGGCATCGCGCACGTGTTTGACCGCGCCGAAGACCAGACGACCGAGTTCTACCGTCTGCTGCGGACGGTACACGTGCCGCAGGACCCGGGCAGGATGGCGGTCACCCAGGAGGCGCCGCCGCAGGAGGGTATCACCGGCCTGGCGGTCAGCCCCTCCGAGGAGACGCTGGTGGCCGCCTCCACGCGCAGCCAGCTCTATGTCATCTCCATGAGCAGCGTGTTCCTCAGCAATAAGGTTAGGCGACCGAGGATATTGTCAGGGACGTTTGTATGTTTTAACTTTACAGGCAAGATCCAATTGTATCGATTGATATCGCGTTACAGTTCTAGTTGCAACTGCGTCATCGATTGAGGTTGAAAGCACGCG